CCCCCCCCAGCGCATTCCAGATCCCCCCAAACAGGCCCAACCCCCTCTATTACGCTCCCAGCCCCCCCATCACACCCCAGCTCCCCCCTACAGGCCTCATTCAGGCCCCAGACCCCCGCACCCACCCCAGAGCCCCCCAGCACGCCCATGTCCGCCCCCCCTTCCCCCCCAGACCTGCGGGGGGCGCTGTGGAGCCGCTCGTCCCGCTCGCTGTCGCTGTCGCTGTCGCTGTCACCGGGCCCTTCGCCCCCTCCCCGCTTTCTCTTTCCTCCCCGCCGCCCCCCGCCGCCTCGGCCTCCCTCCCCAGCCGCCCCGTCTACGAGCGAGGGGCCGCTCCGCCGCCTCAGCAGCCGGCTGCTCAGAGAGCCCATCGCCGCCCTCCATGTGGGGAGGAAGAAGTGACGGAGCCGCCTCAGCAACGGCCGGCGGCGGCCATGATGCGCGGCGGCGCTGGCGCGAGTGAGTGCGCATGCGTAGAGGGGCGCTGCGAGGAGATGCGCATGCGCGGAGGAACGAGGCGCTGAGCTGCGCACGCGCAGGTGGCGAGATGGCGTAACGCGCGTGCGCACTGAGCGCCCTGCGCGTGCGCGTTCTGCACCTCGCGCATGCGCAGCGTTGCACCAAAGGACTCCGTGGCGAACCTGGTCGCCATGGTAACGGCCGTCCGCCATGCAGGGCCGGGCCGCCTCCTGCTCCTCCTCCCTCACCGCCACCCCCGGCGCCGCCTCGCCCGCCCCGTTCTGGCGGAAATACGGCCCAGGTGCGGCGCTGGCGGAGGGCCAAAGCGCTGTGGGATCCTCACATCATGGCCGGGTGTTTTATTTAGGGGAAAAATAATAATAATTTTAAAAAAAACAGCAAATCTCAGCCCCCATCCATCAGTGTCGCATCCATCCCATAATGTCCGCCTTGTGCTGGGTCACCTCTGGGGCAGAGACCCATTTTTGGGGAGATCTGCCCCAAAATGAACTGCTGGGGGGGGTCTGGTGTGCAAGCTGGCCACGTCATCCTCGTTATCAAGGGTTTCTCCTCATTATTAAGGTTTTTCTCCTCATTATTAAGGTTTTTCTCCTCATTTTCAACGTCCCTCACGCTGTGTCCCACCACGGCCGTCCTGGGACCCCTGTGCTCTAAATGGTGTTCTCAAAGATCTGCATGGAGCTCATGATGTCCGCGTCCTGCCGGGGGCACACGGACACGTCTCAGGTGCCTATAAGGGGAGGGGGCACCCATGGAGGGGTCCCCGAACCCACACTGACATCCCTTTGGGTACAAGGATGGGAGGGGGAGGATTGGGGTGAGCACAAAGTCAGTGCTGGCGGTGTCACCTGCTGGCACGTCTCCAGGAACTCCTCGTAGGTCACCACGCCGTCCCCATTCCTGTCCATCTTCTGCAGGGGCAGAGCTCAGCTGGGATGTCCCCATCCCCGTCCCTGTCCCCATCTCCTCTCCACCCCCATCCCTGTCCCCATCTCTCTCTCCATCCCATCCCCAACCCCAACCCCATCTCCCTCTCCATCCCCACCCCTGTCCCCAGACCCTTCCCCATCCCCATCTCCGTCCCCCTCTCCATCCCCATTCACATCCCTGTCCCCATCCTTGTCCCCCTCTCCACATCCCTCCCCATCCCCATC